ATGGACTGGTTGGATCTCCTTGCTGTCCAAGGGACTCTCAAGAGTCTTTTCCAACACCTTGAACTTCTCCAACTCCTTGAACACAGCTCAAAAGCATCAATTCTTTGGCGCTCAGCTTTCTTTATAGTCCAACTCTCACATCCATACGTGACTACTGGAAAAACCATAGCTTTGATTAGACGGACCTTTGTTGGCAAAGTAATGTCTCTGCTTTCTAATATGCTGTCTAGGTTGGTCATCACTTTTCTTCCTAGGAGCAAGCGTCTTTTAATTTTCATGGCTGCAGTCACCATCTGCAGTGATTTTGGAGACCCCCAAAATAAAGTCTCTCACTGTTTCCATTGTTTCCCCATCTGTTTGCTATGATGGGACCAGATGCTATGGTCTTCATTTATTAAATGTTGAGTTTTAAGCCAGTTTTTTCACTCTTCTCCTTCACTTTCATCAAGAGGCTCTTTAGGTTTTTCACTCTCTGCCATAAGCGTGGTGTCATCTGCATATCTGAGGTTACTGATATTTCTCCCAGCAATCTTGATTCCAGTTTGTGCTTCATTCAGTCTGGCATTTTGCATGATAAACTCTGCATATAAGTTAAATAAGCAGGGTGACACAATATGCAGCCTTGACGTACTCTTTTCCCGACTTGGAACCAGTCTGTTGCTCCATGTCCAGTTCTGTTGCTTCTTGACCTCCATACAGATTTCTCAGGAGGCAGGTCAGGTAGTCTGGCTTTTCCATCTCTTGAAGAATTTTCCACAGTTTGTTGTGATCCACACAAAGGCTTTGGCATAGTCAGTAAAGCAGAAGTAGATGTTTTTCTGAAACTCTCTTCCTTTTTCGATGATACAGTGGATGTTGGCAATTTGATCTCTGGTTCCTCTGGCTTTTCTAAATTCAGCTTGAACATCTGGAAGCTTATGGTTCAGGTACTGTTGAAGCCTGGCTTGGAGAATTTTGAGCGTTACTTTGCTAGTGTGTGAGATGAGTGCAATTGTGCAGTAGTTTGAACATTCTTTGGCACAGCCTTTCTTTGGGACTGGAATGAAAACTGACCTTTTCCAGTCCTGTGGTCACTGCTGAGTTTTCCAAATTTGCTGGCATATTGAGTGCAGCATTTTAACTGCATCATCTTTGAGGATTTGAAATACCCTGTATGCCTGATACCAAATCTAAACTCCTGGGTTTATATTTCAAAACTCCAAAATGTCTATCATTTTCTTAAAGTTTTATAGCTAATGAGTCTATAAGAAAAAAAAAGTGAAAGCCTTTGAAATGGAACAAATACTTACTGGTTATCTTCGATGAGAAACTCGTTTTTGCCTAGCAGATCCTTCTGGGTTTTTGATTCAATGGGATCTCTATATTAGTCATTGTCTTTGATCTATTCATAATTTGCTATGCAAATGATTCTTGTACACAGACATGAAAGAAATTTTATCTGCAGGGGGGTTCAATTGATTTCCTTCCTCCACCATGGAAGAAGCCAATTTTGCCTCTATTTTAAATTCACTGCAGTACTCTAGTGCTCTTTGAATGTTCCTTTACGTGGGTTAACATCTAGCTCATTCTCTCATTTAAGTTAGTGAGTTAAACTCATTTGTCATGAGTTTCATTTTATATTTCTATGAGAGTCATGATTTCATGATTTTGCCTTTAAATTAAAAAAAAAAATCCTTCTAACAAACTCTTGTTTTCATTATTCCCTTTAAACTTTGAATCCATCCCCAACATACAATGTCTTCTCTGGCTTTCTTCCTGACACCACTGATTCTTCCCATGTCAGGGATGAATCTAATCTCTGCCATAACCTCAAAATACAAAAGTATGCTTTTCCATGATGTACCTATACTGCAATGATGTCAATTTATTTTACAATTATAGTTTCTTTGTAATGCCTTCTACAAAATGCACTGTTTCATTGACATGTTGCAGACACTGCCTATTTATCTTACAGCATTAATTTATATGCAAGTAACTTCTCTCCTTAATTAGAGTGCAAGTTCCTGGAGAGAACTGATCACAACTCATTTTCCTTTTCTACTCTTCACTGTCTATGTAGTATGTAGCGCCCAATAAATACCCACTACCGCATTCCATCCATGGCCCATGAACGGAGGCTCTCAACCACGATTTCTTTCAGGTAGTCACTTAACTTTATTTAGGTAACCAACCTACTATGTTGTGGCAGAAGGTGGTTCCTTCCTAGAAAAACTCACACTAAACTTTAATGAAGATCACTGGAGCTTCGTGAAACACCAAATAAACTGTGGTACTAATCAGAAAGTCTAGAGAAAAAATAATAAATTGATATGCTTCTAGGTACTTTTCCCCCTCAATTATCAGTATTATGTATACTTATATTCTTAAGAACAGTCCATGTGAGGGTTACACACATTCAGTTCAACATTCATTCTCTGATTCTACAAATGTTTATTGATTTTCAACTATATGTTAGAAATTTTTTGCAGGCCTTGACAATGCATTTGTAAATAAAATGTAATTTGTAATCCAAGATGCTTACCTGCTAATGAAGAAAGAAGAGGGAAGGATTAGAAAAGAGGAGGGAAATAGAGACAACTGTGACCTAAGCATATAGATAATTGGTGACAAGCCAAATTAAGTTGCTCTTATTTTGGGGAATTATATATACTGAACCTTTAAAATTAATTTAATATAAGTATAATAATGGAATAATGAAATCTCAAATTTTGCAGATATGCATCACCAGAATACACATTCTACATTCAATGTCTTACATACCCTAATACCAACTAAACCAAATGAGAGACCACCAACATTTTTCTACTGTTTAACTGCTGAGTTGTGAGAGAATAATAAATGGTCTGGAGACTGCTGCCAGCATATTTGATTTTATGAACTATAAAATATTTTACCAGTTGAATAGTCTACCAAGTATATTAAATCTGCTCCTTATAATCCTATATGAAGTCAAAGGATTTCATAACATTTGAGCATTAACGTTATTATTGAGCATTTTCATTTTTATGGTTTTACTTATGATAATTATTTCAAATTAAAACCATCTTGAGAAAACTGCCACTGTTTAAATAAAAAAAAAAAAAAACCTAGTTCATTTAACCAGTTTTATTTTTCTCATGATGACTTTTTATTCTTACCTTTATTCCTGGAGGAACCCTTAGAATAAAGCATTAAAGATTTTATATCATAGTACTCTGTTAGTAAAGAGATTATGGAAATAAAAAAGACCAACAAATACTAAAATACTAATAAATTTTACAGGCTTTATGTTGTATGTTGACATATTGGTATAATTAAAATGATTCAAAAAGAAATAAAAAGCTATCATATAATGATAACCTAACATTTGTTTGGTCCTAAATATTTTCACATATATTTTTCTCTTAATTCTCACAACAATCTGATAAAACAAGTTTAATTATATTCATTTTTACAGATAAAGGAATCAAGAAATAAGTGGTTTACTAAATATGTAAGTGGCATTTTGTATGCTACGCCCAGGTCCTCAAACTTTCTGCTTTTGTTCATACTTTTATAAAGAGAATTTAATTTATAAGCCAAATCTTATTGGCAAGACACTTTCTAAGGGTAAGTAAAATATATGTAGAGGAACACTAGACATTTTATTCACTTACAGTGTCATCATACTAAAACTGAAAAAATCAAGTGTACATTCCAAGTGGCCCAGGTAAAAGTAAGGAATAGATTATTTACTCACTAGGGTCTAGATGCTGTCTATCAAAATCACTTGCTTACATAGGACTAAAATGTGCTCTATTAGCATCTTTCCTTTCCTCATACAAATTAAATATTTTATTTTTTATTAACCTTATTGTTTAAAAGCTTATGGCTTGCCTTCTCATGAAAAACATTAAAAAAAAGACTAGTTCCAAGTCATTCAGTATTTTGTGTGTTTTCAAAGTTTTTAACACAAAATATACATTTCCAAGTATTTACATCATATTCTCTATATAGCTTTAAATATCTCCCTCTGTATATATTTATTTTTGAACATACGACACTTTATTGCTGAACAATATTTCATTGTAGATGGTATCATAATTTACTCTACAATTCTTTCAATTCGTGTGGCTTTATCATGCAAATGTTTACTTATAAAACCATGTTTTTTTTTTAAAAATTGCAGAATCGAGTGATATCACAGCCCCAATTCTTCTCCAACAAGTCACTATTATGAGATTTGCTTGCTTCTATTCTTTTTTCATACATCATATGTTATCATTAAAGTATATATGTCATTTTATATCTTAAATTTGCTTCCATTTAACATTATATAATAAGCCTTTTCCATAATCATAGTGTCATTTTGGGCAGAATTTCACACTTTATCTAACCATTACTTTATTGATAAACAATAAGTTTTCTCCTCTTTTTTTCTTTTTAAAAATATGTAAATCATTTTCCAATAAATGTTGCAAGCATATAACCTCTACATATGTGCCCTTAAAACAATGATTTCCTAACACCAGATTCCTGCAAGTAAGATTATTAAAAAAAAAAAAAAGGCTAAGTAGCTTTCATCATTATTTGAATATGGAAAAAAATATTGATTGTCTACAATGCAAAAGTTCAAAGGATAAAATGGCATCCTAATTTCAGTATCTTATCAAATAGACCTTTTAGTGATTGGGAAATATAGAAACAAATAAACATAATTACATTTAACCTAATTGTGTTTTCCATAAATTAGTATATATTGGCACCATTTGTCTTGAGACAACAGTGACCACTTAGACACATTTTTTTTTCTTAATGCTATTTTCATTTTAAAAGTCTGTATCTAAAAAAAAATAAAAATAAAAATAAAAGTCTGTATCTACATACCTTTTAGGTATAGTTTAGCTTATTGTTCCCTTTGAATCTTAGATGAAGTTTTAGAAATGCTTTCTGGAACTGCTTCCTTTGGGGAATGCTCTGAAATCCACAACAATACCCAGCAGTAATTCTGATAGAAGGAGAAAGAAAATGACCCAACTTACCGTTTCTAAGGCATTTACACGGTCCTGCAAATAAAGCATAATATATAATTATAAAAACAAAGCCATTAAAATATCATTTCAAGTTTAGTTTTTAGATTTTTCCATTTATCTTCTATTAACATTTTTAAAATGTAAAAGATGAAAACTCCTACTCAGGATAATCTCTCTAAGAGAAAAATAGTCATGAAACAATTACTTTTCTCATCTTGACTAGTGTTGGGGCTACCAGGTTTAATTTAACTGTAAATACCATAAATTCAGGCTTGGTTACTGAGTGAAACAGATTTTAAGACTTCTGCATTGGTAAAAGTATGTCTATTTAATAAAACATAGTTATTAGATAGATCTGAACATATGAGCCACAACCAGACAATAGTAGCGATATAAAAAAGGAATTCAGCACATACACTTCCTCTCAGTTAGGTACCCAGCACAGAGTGTGCTCTCACGGGAAGTCAAGTTCAGACATAAGAGTGACATCGCCAACTAAAATGAATAAGTACACGGTTAACTGAAACAAGGCCGGAGAAATGAGAATGACAGGTTACATGCAGGCAGTCCTGAACCCAGGTGGGTCTTCATCACTTACAGTATCTTAGAAGGATTCACAGACATACTGGTTTTTAAAAAGGGTCATTGATAATATTGCTTTAAAAGCTAAATGATTAAGAATTCTCAGTTCAACAGCTGTGTCTTCAACTCTTTCCAAAGCTAAACAGCTATATACAAAAAGTTTTGTTTTGTTTTGTTTTTTTAAAGCTGAATTTGGGAGGAGAGTCTGAAAATTTAAGGAACTGTAAAGCCATGCTTTTTATGAGGATAAAGGCCATTTTTCTGTTCTTTCATTTTAAGCAGTTGAAGAAGATATATAAAATCTGGATCTCTCTCTTGTTTAATTAAATTAATCATTTGTGCTAGAGGGTAAGGAGGGAAAATGATACAGACAGCCACTGAGCTCAGATCTCTGAGACCCTGCAGACACTTACAGGGACCCATGACCCTTAGGAGCATAACCTAGCTGCCCCCCCCGCCCCCACCCTCCAAGATTCTCCCAGCCTCACCTAAGACAGAGGACTTGCTTTTGAGGATTTCTGCGACCCAGTCTCCAACATTCGGACTGGGAAACTAGGTTGGACATTTCTGCCCCTTTAAACATCTGGCTGTGTGCGCACAAGTTAAACCAATATATTAATATTATGCCAAAGCAGCCCAAAGCAGACTGTTTTTAGCAGTATAATCTGTTTAATTGCATTTTGCTGGCATACTTGAGAGAACCTCACCGTCGCCCCCATAATTTTCATAAAATAACTGCTATTTTATTGGTGACTTGGGTACTGTCACATTTGAGTAGCTCATAATGAATGCACATAGTGCCTCTAGGGGGCTTTGATCTGTTGTTACCAGGCATCTTATTCACAGTACATCTGGGACAAAACCATTCAGCAAAGCTTTATCATCCTTTGCAGATTGAACAGAACCTCATTAGACAGTCTTTGGGTAGTGCTGCATTTATATGAACCATCTTGGAAGGCTGAAAATATTTACAGCCACTATTTGGGCCTTCAGTTTTCCCCACACCATGTATTTATGGGGCTCATGTTACTTAGAATTAGCATATTTTTAAAGCACACATACAGCTGGTTTGCAATCAATGATTTCATATGATGCCAAAATGGTACAACTGAATTAAATTCTGTTTTAATTCATAGCTCAGTGTTCGGGAAAGATAAAACTCATATGATTTATGTATTAGTATCTTCATTTTATTTAAATATTTGTTTCAGGATTTTAAAAGGAATGTGTACTGTCATGGACTATGTGTTTGTGTCTTCAAAATTCATGTGCTGAAAACCCCAATCCCTAAAGTGATGGCCTCTGCATATGTGGCCTTTGGGAGGTAATCAGGTCAGGAGGAGACAGACCTCAGGAGATTAGTGCCCTTCTAAGAAGAGACGCAGAATGTGGGCTTCTCTTTCTGCTCTCTGCCACATTAAGGCATAATGAGAACATGGCCGTCTACAAGCCAGGAAGAGGTCCCTCACCAAGGACGGAACCTGCCAGCAGCCCGATCTTGGAACTGCCAGCTTCCGCAACTGTGAGAAACAAATGTTTGCTGCTTAAGACACCCAGGCTACAGTAATTTGGTACAGCAGTCTAAGCTGACATATGCCTAGTCTGTAAGGCTAAAACACAAACGGTGGGGAGAAAACAAAAAAATCTCAATTTCATTAAAATATAAAGACCAATAAATAATCTATTTCAATGCAATTTAGTTACGTCCGTTTGTCTATAACTTACTCCATTCCAAAATGGTACTGAAATAGCTTTCAATGAAAGAATATATATTGAAAAAAATGAGAAAAATTAGAGAAACAGGAAGTGCAGTTCATTAACCTGAATTTAAATAATTCAATTTGCCAATCAACAACAGCTAATAGGATATCAGTCATTGTTGCCAATCAGTGAGCTTTCTCTAAATTGCAGTTTTTGGCTTTAATTACAGGCTATAAAAATAAGAAACTACTCCTAATCTTTATGAACTTATTAACTTGCTTTTAAAATTTAAGAAATGTATTTTGAAATTTAAATGGCTGAAGTTGACTTCTTTTTTGGCAGCCAAGATCAGTTATAATTCTGCATATAAAAGAATTAGCCTATTGCAAATTCCTGTTCTCAAACAAAATATTTGCATACTTCCTCTCATGTTCTTATCATTAGAATAGAGGTAATTTAAGCCAGTCTATGAAGAAATACTAGCAGATGTCCTGGAATGAATATGTAATTATACCAAAATTGATTTATATTCTCCCTATCCTCTCTCACTCACTAGAACTGGACCTGTAGTGTTCTATTGTTGCTGTTTAATCTGCAGTTTTCATTTCAACAAATTTTATCTTAAAGCTCAGTCTACAGGTTCAATACTCTGCCCTCTCTCCCATCACACACACTCTCTCAAGCTTAGATCCTAAAATGAATTGCTTAAGGTACTGAAAGAGGAGTTGGTAGGTGAGACGAGTAGAGAGAGAAGAAAGTCTCCAGAAGTAATAGACACTCTCACTATAATGCAATTTCAGGTGGTTTTAATAAATTAAGTGGTTCTTATTTTCGCAATCATGGACTTTGAGAACTTTCCCCCCAGGAAAATGAACACTATACATGACACACATAATTTTGCATACACTTTTAGGGGAACTGCAGACTCTCAGAACCCACCCATAGGTGTCCAAGTATTTTTATTTAAAGATACTTGAAATAGGATGTAAGAATTAATTTATTAGACCAAATAAATTATTGTATTAGAACAAATCTATTTCTCCTGTATGAAGCACTTCTTGACAACAAGTAAAGGAACAATTGGGAATGGAAGGTTAAAAATCAGAGGAGAAATTTCCTTCAAATATTTTGAATGAAAAGTTCTAAGGGGAAAAAGTAGGTTTTATTGCTATCAGGTTTTCTTGTGATTAAAGATTCCCTTTCCCACTATTTTTTAGTGTTATTTTAGAAGGGGAAAGTCTAAGAAAATCACAGTCTTGTCATGGATAAGGGGCTTGCATAACTCAATGAAGCTATGAGCCATGCCATGCAGGCCACCCAAGATGGATGGGTCACAATGTAAAGTTCTGACAAAACATGGTCCACTGGAGGGGGGAACGGTAAACTACTCCAATATTCCTGCTGCAAGAACCACATGAACGTCAATAGTATGAAAAGGCAAAAAGATATGACACCAGAAGATCAGCCCCCGGTTGAAAGGTGCCAATGTGCTACTGTGGAAGAAAGGAGGGCAATTACTAATAGCTCCAGAAAAAAAATGAAGTGGCTGGGCTAAAGCATAAATGACTCTCAGCTGTGGATGTAGTGAAAGTAAAGTGGTAATGAAAGTAAAGTCTGGCGGTGAGTAAAGTCCGACGCTATAAAGAACAATATTGCATAGGAACCTGGAATGTTAGGTTCATGAATCAAGGTAAATTGGAAGTGGTCAAACAAGAGTTGGCAAGAGTGAACGTCAACATTTTAGGAATCAGTGAACTAAAACGGACTAAAATTGGTGAATTTAACTCAGATGACCATTATATCTACTATTGTGGGCAAGAATCCCTTAGAAGAAACGGAATAGCCGTAATAGTTAACAAGAGTTCAAAATGCAATGCTCAGGTGCAACCTCAAAAATGACAGAATGATCTCTGTTCATTTCCAAGGCAAACCATTCAATATCACAGAAATCCAAGTCTATACCTCAACCACAAATGCCAAAGAAGCTGAAGTTGAAGGGTTCTGTGAAGGCCTAAAAGACCTTCTGGAATTAAAACCAACAAAAGATGTCCTTTTCATCAAAGGGGACAGGAATGCAAAAGTAGGAAGTCAAGAGATACCTGGAGTAACAGGCAAGTTTGGCCTTGGAGTACAGAATGAAGCAGGGCAAATGCTAACAAGTTCTGTCAAGAGAACAAGTGTTGGTCATAGCAAACACTCTTCCAACAACACAAGAGAAGAGTCTCTACGTGGACATCACCAGATGTTCACTACCAAAATCATACTGATTATATTCTTTGCAGCTGAAGATGGAAAAACTCTATATCATCAGCAAAAACAAGACTAGGAGCTGACTCTGGTTCAGATCATCAGCTCCTTATTGAAAAATTCAGGCTTAAATTGAACAAAGCAGGGGAAACCACTAGGCCATTCAGGTATGTCCTAAGTCAAATCCCTTATGATTATACCGTGAAGGTAAGGAATAGATTCAAAGGATTAGATCTGGTAGACAGAGTGCCTGAAGAACTATGGACAGAGGTTCGTGACACTGTACAGGAGACAGTGAAAAAACCATCTCAAAGAAAAAGAAATGCAGGAAGGCAAAGTGGTTGTTTGAGGAAACTTTACAAACAGCTGAGGAAAGAAGGGAAGCAAAAAGTAAGGGAGAAAGGGAAAGATGTACTCAACTGAATGCAGAGTTCCAGAGAATAGCAAGGAGACATAAGAAGGCCTTCTTAAGTGATCAATGCAAAGAAACAGAGGAAAACAAC